CTGAAACACAGGCCGGGGAAGTCACACCCGGTCAGGGAGGTGGGGGCTTATAAGGGGTTAGGAGGGGGAGGAGTAGGCAAGCTATCCTAGGGGGCGTGGAGAGGTACGGCTGGCTAAAGGTCACATAATAGACAACTAGAAACTTCTTTTCCTTCCAAGAGGGAGGAGGCTGACATCTGGGTCTTAGTTGGCACATCAAAAGGATGGAATTCAGGAAGAGCTGTCCCCCTTCCATATAAGGCACAGACCTTGGGGTCTGGTCTGTTCTCCTTTTATGGTATCTCTCTGTTCTGTTTGCATGTCCTTGTTTTTCCTTCCTCCAGTCTAACAAGCATCACTGGAGGTTTTGTTACAGAGAGTAGCAGTGTCATCCATCTATTAGAGAAAGCTTCTAACAATGTCAAAGTGTAAGGTGTCGAGAGACTACAGTCTTTGCAGGCAATCTTTAATTCTTTTATTAATTTATATGGGATGGGCTCCCAGGATACACTTTCATCATCAAATTCTCCTCCACAAATAATTGGGTAACACATAAATTCTATGTCCCTTTCTTGTTCTGCTTGCTTTAAGGCAGTCCTTACTCCAGTAGGAGTCTTTTGATCAAATCTGGGGTGGGGGGCTCTAGGTGCTCTTTAACTTCTAAAACCTCCTTGATTAAATTCCACAGTGCAAAGGCATCTGTAGGGTCCTTCTCAGGTCCGAGATGATAACAATAGACCTGCATACCTTCGCCCACTTTGTCCCAGATTTCCATGTCTACACATGAATCTTTAGGAAACCATGGGCAACACTCCTGCACAAAATGTAGAAATTTAGTCAGCTGTCCTGAAGAGACCTTAATTCCTCTTTTTTATATCATATGCTTAATGATTTCAATGAGGAGACCTCTTTCTTTGGACTCTCCATGGCTCATCTTCTCAAGTAGTTCTGACTATCTGTCCACTCCTAACTTTGCTTTCCTATGTAAAGGGGCTTGCAAGACCTGGGGCAGAGTCCTATCCATCCTTGATTAGAGGGAAAGGGAAATGGGAGAACTTACCATCGAGCCCCACGTTGGGCACTACTTGCCGGAGTCCAGCTCCACCCAAGGGGGGGGATGCCCAAAGGTGCAGGACAGAGTTGGCGCATGGTTGTTTGTATTATATATTTACCCAGTCTGGTGCAGATAACTTCTTCCTGGTTCCTTTAATATATTTCTTGGTCCTTTTTGTTATTCATGAGTAACTGGACATAAAGTAGGGTTGCAAGATTTAGCAAATAAAAATATAGGGTGCCCAGTTAAAACCTATTTTAGTCATTAACTAGAGGTAAAAGTATGAGTCAGTTGGAGAAGCTCTCCCAACAAAGTGCCAATGACATCTTTATTTATACCATTTGCAAAAGAATATGATTATTTTTCATTTGTTCTTTTGATTAACAAGCACAGGCAAGCTTTTTTCTTTGTATTTATTTCTAATCTATACATGGTTAGCCAAGTGTTAGACAGGTGATTTTTTTTCTGTTCCTTGACCTAAACTTTTCCTAGCAACACGTACTCTATTGTGTCTCTCGTTTCTATGCAACACAGTTTCTAAGTAAGGCGTGCGACAGCAGAAGTGTGCAGCATATAGCAGTGACTATGGAGTCTATCAGCTCAGGGTGAAATACAGGTCACTCACTACTACAGTTAGCTAGGCAGGTATCATCATCTATATTTCTAATACAATGGGTACATTTTATCCCCTCATAATATTTATTCTATCGTAGGTAGATGCAAGATAAAGATAGAAAGCATGATTTACTGCTGTAAGAAAGCAAGTGTAAATGATCAGGTCTGTGCCTATAGACTAGGTATTAATCCAAGTTAGACAAGGGCAACAAAACATCCGCGGGTGTACATTTCTCTCAAAACTGGGGGGGTGAGGTTCTAAGCCTCACCTCTGTTGGCCCCCATTTTCTCACCTGATGGCCCCCCTGCGACTGTGCCTGTCTTAGGTTGTTCCTCCCTTGAGGAATCTTACCCGTCTCTGGCTAACCAGCCATCTTCTGGGGCCATACAGGGAGATGTAAAGCTGGTTAAGTGAGAGAGAAGTAATATTCTTTGAAAGGTTAGCTTTTCACTTCTTTGCAGATTTATGCTCCGTGGCTTCTATGCCCAGCACTTGTCTTGAGGTATCGTTACCACTTGGAAGAATTATGGTACTTGGTAATTTCACGTATGAGGCATGAATTCTAGTAAAGGGCTGTGATTACGAAGGAAGAAGAGAAGCTATAGAAGTAGCAGATGGAAGAAAACATGAGAAGATTGATTAAGTGTCAGCCAGGGTTATTCCACTCAGTGTTCCCCCATAACTCTATTTCTCTAATTTTCCTATAAAACTCTTCATCACTAATTTCACTAGCATTGCAAACAAGGGAGGCATTCCCACTTAGGTGGAGATGGGGTTGTCAGTGTTTGACTAACTAACTGCAGGTTTTGGTATTCCACGCCAAGATTGCCATCTGGCCCCTGCGTGTTCCATTCTTAAGGAGCACTGTCCTGAAGCGCTTCTGGAAAGTTTACGTTCTCCTCTGTGGTACTGATGGGGTTAATACATAATTCAAGTAAGGTAGAAATCAAATGTATAAGGACACATGACTTGATTGTTTTTCCTACACACTCTGTTGATGTGTAATTAAGGACTGAGTGATGAGAACAAAAGCAGTTCTCATGGCTCGGAGCCATCTTCACACAGTTTTGGTATCCTTGAGAAGCGTCGCATCCCTGGGTTAGACTCAAGGCCAAATAATGATGTTTGAGTTCACTGTAAGTTCATTTATTCAATAAATATGAGAAATGCCTTCTTGGCATTGCTCTTGAGCTGTTACGCCTTGAGCCCCCTGGCTGGTCCTTTCAGGTCTTCGACAACCCATCCCATCTCCTCCCTTGTCTGCAGCTTAGAGGCAGGGAGTGGACCAACATCCTTATTTCCATGCTGCTTGTCAAAGGTTAGCTTAGTCTTTGGCAAAAATGCAAGCAAAATCAAAGCCTATAGTAAAATGGAGAAAAACAAAATTAACGTGTCTAATAGGGGGAGCCAGCTGCGAAGGCCCCTGCTTTGTGGGGGTCTTCCTCCAGCCTGAGCTTTGCTACACAGCTTGAGTAGCATGGCTCCTGCCAAAAAATATGCCTTGAAAAGCTAGAAGATGACCATATTACGACCCTAATGAATTATGGATCTAGGCACTGAGCATCTATGGCAGCTATACAAAAAGAGACAACCAGACATATGGCTCCTGAAGGGAGTACACACCATCTATGAAGTAATTCTACCCCTTACCCCACCCCACCCCAGCCAACTGAACCTGAATCAAAGCTTTCAGAATAGGGTTAACAGTTGCTAGATAAAATTCAGAACTCCCAGTTAAAGCTGAATTTCAGATAAAACAAGTAACTTTTTGAGTGTAAGCATGTCCCATAGTATGTCCCATACATTATATTTGGCAAATACTTAAAAAGGTATTTAGTTCACCTGAAAATCGGTTTTAACTGGGCACCCTATATTTTTATTTGCTAAATCTCACAACCCTACTTTATGTCCAATTACTCATGAACAAAAAGGACCAAGAAACATATTAAAGGAACCAGGAAGAAGTTACCTGCACCAGACTGGGTAAATATATAATACAAACAACCAGATTTCCTCAACACAGAAACATCAAGGAGAGAGGCAGTGACTAAAGAAACTTAAGAGACACAAAAACCAATCATAAAGTGTAGACTACTTGAATTCTGATTCAGATTATTTTAAAAAACATGCCATTCATGATATTCGTAATTGGAACACTGGATATTTGATATTAAGGAATTATTAATTATTTAGTTACCTAGTATTATTGTGGGTTTTTTTAAATAAGCCCTTATCTCTTATAGGTGCATGTTGAAATGTTTATGGATGAAACTATATGACATCCTGTAGGTGCTTCATAATAATCTAGAAGGGAGGGTGGTAGAACTGGTATAGATGTGGTAGAATGGATGGTGTTGAAGCTTCCTAAAAACTACCTGTGATTTCATATACTCTTCTATTTCTATATATGTCTGAAATTCCCTATAATAAAAAAACTTTGAAAGAACCAATACAAAGCACAGTGACTGACAAACAACACGTATTTGTTGGCAGGCAAATGGGTTTAATTTTTTAAAAAGAAAGCTCTCAGATGGCCATCAAATGGAAAAACATTTTTGTAATGAGATTGCAAGCATGAATATGCCTGAAAACACAAAAGACATTCATTTAGGGACCAAACAATATTCAAATGGAAACAATAACATATCTACTCAGACAAGGGAAATTGTTTATTGAAAATGAACAGTTCTGAAACTCTGGGCAGAAAAGGAATGTATATTACATATACTTAATTGTGGTAAGCACGAAGACATTTTTAACCCTCTAAAAAAATGTTATGCGGGAAACAATCCACCTTAGATGTTCTTCAATATTTATTATTCAAGTGAACTGCTGTGGAAAGCTATGTTAATTTCCCAAAGGCTTTTGAACAAATTTCAAAAATTTGAGTGTTGACATGCAAGGGAATCGCCAATTACTAGAAATTAATGACTTCTCATGATGAATAATGCATGCACTTGACAGCAGGGCTTTACACAAAATGCAGTGTTGACAGTTTTGAATGCAGTCTTGCCTACCTGCAGTACATGATAATCAAATTCAAAAGCAACCCTCCCATACAACGTGCAAGTTAATGTGCTTAGTGCAAGTTAGCAAAATAAGCCGTTTATTTTATGCTTACTATTCCACCATATGGATGCACTAGAATTCATTTAACCATTCTCTTACTGATAGATGTTTCTCACTTTTGCTATTATCAATGATGATGCATTTGACTTTATACATTTAACCTTACATTCTGCAGCTTTAATTTCTGAGGGAGAAATTACAAGAAGTAGGTTTGCTGAGCTGGAGTATCAATATGATTAATTTTAATAGATACTAACCAAATGTATTTTTTAATTAGGGCTACAATGTGGAATGGTGTTTTTAAAATGCAATCACCTAACTACAAGTCAATGATCTTACTAACTTCACTTCAAATACCAAGTATATATAAGCTCTGTCTTAAGTACAGAACTGGATTCTTTGACAATCTCTCATTAACATAGTGCTTTTGGTGTTAAAAATCCTGTGGCTTGGCCCACCCAGGGAGGCGGGGCCCGCCGGTAGGGGGCTCCATGCTCTGTCGTCACAATGCGGAAACCTGAAACGCAGGATGTTACCAAGATGACTCCATTTTCACACGAAGTTATAAGCAGACAAGCCACAATTAATATAGGTACAATTGCTCAGGTAGCCCATGGGAAATCCACAATTGTAAAAGCTCTTTCTGGAGTTCACACTGTCAGGTTCAAAAATGGGTATGAACTAGAAAGAAATATTACAACCAAGCTTGGATATGCTAATACCAAGATTTATAAACTTGACGACTCAAGCTGTGTTCAGCCAGAATGTTAAAGATCCTGTGGAAGTAGTACACCTGATGAGTTTCCTACAGACATTCGAGGGACCAAAGGGAACTAGAAAACAGTCGGACATGTTTCCTTTGTTGACTGTCCTGGCCATGATACATTTTTATTACTTTTTAAAATTCATTTTATCATTAATCTACAATTACATGAAGAACATTATGTTTACTAGACTCCCTCCTTCACCAAGTCCCCCCACCAAAACCCATTATTCACTGTCAATCAGCATAGTAAGATACTGTAGAATCACTACTTGTCTTCTCTGTGTTGCATATCCCTCCCTATGCCCCCCCCCCACATTATACATGCTAATCATAAGGCCCGTTTCTTTTTCCCACCCTTATCCCTCCATTCGAACCCATCCTCCGCAGTCCCTTTCCCTTTGGTAACTGTTAGTCCATTCTTGGGTTCTGTGACTATGCTGCTATTTTGTTCCTTCAGTTTTTCTTTATTCTTATACTCCATATATGAGTGAAATCATTTGGTACTTCTCTTTCTCCACCTGGCTTATTTCACTGAGCATAATACCCTCTAGCTCCATCCATGTTGCTGCAAATGGTAGGATCTGTTTTCTTCTTATGGCTGAATAATATTCCATTGTGTATATGTACCACATCTTCTTTATCCATTCATCTACTGATGGACACTTAGGTTGCTTCCATTTCTTGGCGATTATAAATAGTGCTGTGATAAACATAGGGTGCATCTGTCTTTTTCAAACTGGACTGCTGCATTCTTAAGGTAAATTCCTAGAAGTGAAATTCCTGGGTCAAATGGTATTTCTATTTTGACCTCTTTGAGCAAACTCCATACTGCTTTCCACAATGCTTGAACTAATTTACATTCCCACCAGTAGTGTAGGAGGGTTCCCCTTACTCCACAACCTCACCAACATTTGCTGTTGTTTGACTTTTGGATCTGGGTGATCCTTACTGGTGTGAGGTAGTATCTCATTGTGGTTTTATTATGCATTTCTCTGATGACTAGCAAAGTGGAGCATCTTTTCATGTGTCTGTTGGCCATCTGAATTTCTTCCTTGGAGAACTGTCTGTTCAGCACCTCTGCCCAATCTTTAATTGGATTGTTTGCTTTTTGTTTGTTGAGGTGCGTAAGCTCTTTATATATTTTGGATGTCAACCCTTTATCGGATCTGTCATTTACGAATATATTCTCCCATACTGTTGGGTACCTTTTTGTTCTATTGATGGTATCCTTTGCTGTACAGAAGGTTCTCAGCTTGATATAGTCCCAATTGTTCATTTTTGCCTCTGTTTCCCTTGCCTGGGGAGATATGTTCATGAAGGAGTTGCTCATGTTTATGTCCAAGAGATTTTTGCCTATGTTTTATTCTAAGAGTTTTATGGTTTCATGACTTACATTCAGGTCTTTGATCCATTTCAAATTTACTTTTGTGTATGGGGTTCGACAGTGATCCGGTTTCATTCTCTTACACGCAGCTGTCCAGTTTTGCCAGCACCATCTGTTGAAGAGACTGTCATTTCCCCACTGTATGTCCACAGCTCCTTTATGATATAATAATTGACCATATGCTTGGGTTAATGTCTGGAGTCTCTATTCTGTTCCACTGGTCTGTGGCTCTGTTCTTGTGCCAGTACCAAATTGTCTTGATACTGTGGCTTTGTAGTAGAGCTTGAAGTTGGGGAGTGATATTCCCCCCCCCACTTTATTCTTCCTTCTCAGGATTGCTTTGGTTATTCAGGGTCTTTGGTGTTTCCATATGAATTTTTCAACTATTTGTTCCAGTTCGTTGAAGAATGCTGTTGGTAATTTGATATGGACTGCATCAAATCTGTATATTGCTTTGGGCAGGATGGCCATCTTGATGATATTAATTCTTCCTAGCCAAGAGCATGGGATGAGTTACCATTTGTTAGTGTCCTCTTTAATTTCTCTTAAGAGCATCTTGTAGTTTTCAGGGTGTAGGTCTTTCACTTCTTTGGTTAGGTTTATTCCTAACTATTTTATTCTTTTTGATGCAATTGTGAATGGAATTGTTTTCCTGATTTCTCTTTCTATTAGTTCACTGTTAGTGTATAGGAAAGGCACAGATTTCTGGGTGTTAATTTTGTATCCTGCAACTTTGCTGTATTCCAATATCAGTTCTATTAGTTTTGGAGTGTAGTCTTTAGGGTTTTTTATGTACAATATCATGTCATTTGCAAATAGTGACAGTTTATCTTCTTTACCAATTTAGATTCCTTGTATTTCTTTGTTTTGTCTAATTGCCGTGGCTAGGACCTCCAGTACTATGTTAAATAACAGTGGGGAGAATGGGCATCCCTGTCATGTTTCCGATCTCAGAGGAAAAGGTTACAGCTTTTCACTGTTCAGTATGATGTTGGCTGTGGGTTTATCGTATATGGCCTTTATTATTATGTTGAGGTACTTGCCCTCTATGCCCATTTTGTTGAGAGTTTTTATCATGAATGGATGTGGAATTTTGTCAAATGCATTTTTCAGCACCTATGGAGATGATTGTGTGATTTTTGTCCTTCTTTTTGTTGATGTGGTGGATGATGTTGACGGATTTTCGAATGTTTTACCATCCTTGCATCCCTGGGATGAATCCCACTTGGTCATGGTGTATGATCCTTTTGATGTATTTTTGAAATCGGCTTGCTAATATTTTGTTGAGTATTTTTGCATCTACGTTCATCAGGGATATTGGTCTGTAATTTTCTTTTTTGGTGGGGTCTTTGCCTAGTTTTGGTATTAGGATGATGTTGGCTTCATAGAATGACTTTGGGAGTATTCCCTCCTCTTCTATTTCTTGGAAAACTTTAAGGAGAATGGGTACTATATCTTCTTTGTATGTCCGATAAAAACCTGAGGTAAATACATCTGGCCTGGGGATTTTTTTCATGGGTAGCTTTTTTATTACTGCTTCAATGTATTTGCTGGTAATTGGATTGTTTAGATTTTATGTTTCTTCCTTGGTCAGTCTTGGAAGGTTGTATTTTTCTAGGAAGTTGTCCATGTCTTCTAGGTTTTCCAGCTTGTTAGCATATAGGTTTTCATAGTAGTCTCTAATAATCCTTTGTATTTCTGTGGGGTCTGTCGTGATTTTTCCTTTCTTGTTTCTGATTCTGTTGATATGTGTTGATTCTCTTTTTCTCTGAATAAGTCTAGCTGGAGGCTTATCTATTTTGTTTATTTTCTCAAAGAACCATCTCTTGGTCCATTGATTTTTTCAATTGTTTTATGCTTCTCAATTTTATTTATATCTTCTCTGCTCTTTATTATGTCCCTCCTGCTGACTTTGGGACTCATTTGTCCTTCTTTTTCCAATTTGAATAATTGTGATGTTAGACTATTCATTTGGGTTTGTTCTTCCTTCTTTAAATATGCCTGGATTGCTATATACTTCCCTCTTAAGACTGCTTTCGCTGCATCCCACAGAAATTGGGGCTTTGTGCTGTTGTCATTTGTTTCCATATATTGCTTGATCTGTATTTTAATTTGGTCATTGATCCATTGATTATTTAGGAGTATGTTGTTAAGCCTCCATGTGTTTGTGGGCCTTTTTGTTTTCTTTGTACAATTTATTTCTAGTTTTATACCTTTGTGGTCTGAAAAGTTGGTTGGTAGGATTTCAATCATTTGGAATTTACTCAGGCTCTTTTTGTGGCCTAGTATGTGGTCTATTCTGGAGAATGTTCCATGTGCACTTGAGAAGAATGTGTATTCTATTGCTTTTAGATGTAGAGTTGTGTAGATGTCTATTAGGTCCATGTTCTAGTGTGTTGTTCAGTGCCTCTGTGTCTTTCCTTCTTTTCTGTCTGGTGGATCTATCTTTTGGAGTGAATGGTGTGTTGAAGTCTCCTAAAATGAATGCACTGCATTCTACTTCCTCCTTTAGTTGTTAGTATTTGTTTCACATGTGCTGGTGCCCCTGTGTTGGGTGCATATATATTTATAATGGTTATATACTCTGGTTGGACTGGCCCCTTTATCATTATGTAATGTCCTTCTTTATCTCTTGTTACTTTCTTTGTTTTGAAGTCGATTTTGTCTGATACTAGTACTGCAACACCTGCTTTTATCTCCCTGTTGTTTGCATGAAATATCTTTTTCCATCCCTTGACTTTTAGTCTGTGCATGTCTTTGGGTTTGAGGTGAGTCTCTTATAAGCAGCATATAGATGGGTCTTGTTTTTTTATCCATTCAGTGACTCTATGTCTTTTGATTGGTGCATTCAGTCCATTTACATTTAGGGTGATTATCCATAGGTATTTACTTATTGCCATTGCAGGCTTTAGATTCATGGTTACCAAAGGTTCAAGGTTAATTTCCTTACTATCTAAGAGTCTAACTTAACTCAATTAGTATGCTGTTACAAACACAGTGTAAAGGTTCTTTACTGTTTCTCCTCCTTTTTCTTCCTCCTCCATTCTTTATATATTAGGTGTCATATTGTGTACTTTTGTCTATCCCTTGATTGACTTTGGGGATAGTTAATTTAATTTTGCATTTCCTTAGTAATTAGCTGTTCTACTTTCTTTACTGTGGTTTTATTAGCTCTGGTGACAGCTATTCAACCTTAGGAACACTTCCATCTATAGCAGTCTCTCCAAAATAGACTGTAGAGATGGTTTTTGGGAGGTAAATTCTCTCAGCTTTTGCTTATCTGGAAATTGTTTAATCCCTCCTTCAAATTTAAATGATAATCTTAATGGATAAAGTAATCTTGGTTCCAGGCCCCTCTGCTTCATGGCATTAAATACATCATGCCACTCCCTTCTGGCCTGTAAGGTTTCCGCTGACAAGTCTGATGTTAGCCTGATGGGCTTTCCTTTATATGTGATCTTATTTCTGTCTCTGGCTGCTTTTAACAGTCTGTCCTTGTCCTTGATCTTTTCCATTTTAATTACTATGTTTCTTGGTGTTGTCTTCCTTGGGTCCCTTGTGTAGGGGGATCTGTGGATCTCCATGGCCTGAGAGACTATCTCCTTCCCCAGATTGGGGAAGTTTTCAGCAACCTCCTCAAAGACACTTTCTATCCCTTTCTCTCTCTTCTTCCTCTTCTGGTATCCTTACAATGCGAATATTGTTCCATTTGGATTGGTCACACAGTTCTCTCAATATTCTTTCATTCTTAGAGATCCTTTATTCTCCCTGTGCCTCAGCTTCTTTGTATTCCTCTCTAGTTTCTATTTCATTTATCATCTCCTCCACCGTATCCAACCTGCTTTTAATATCCTCCATCGTGCTCTTCAGCAATTGGATCTCCAACCTGAATTCATTCCTGAGTTCTTGGATCTCTTTCCGTACCTCCATTAGCATGTTGATGATTTTTATTTTGAACTCCCTTTCAGGAAGAGTCACAAGGTCGATATCATTTAAATCTTTCTCAGGAGTTGTATTAAAAATTTTACTCTGGACCAGGTTTCTTTGGCATTCATATTTGTATATGGCGCCCTCTAGTGTCCAGAAGCTCTACTCTGGAGCTGTTCAGTCCCTGAAGCAATGTCGGGGGTCGCAGGGGAGTGGTATTGGTGCCTGGGGGGGAGGAAAAAGCTGTTCCCCGCTTCCTGGCTGCTGTTCCTGTCTCCACTGCCTGAACCAGTGGGCCGAGCACACAGGTATAAGCTTTTGTCCCAGAGCAGCAGGATATGGATCCCTGCTTTCCACAAGCAGGCGGAATCCCAGTCTCCCCGGGAACTCTGCCTGTCCCAGCTTTCCAACCCTGTAATCAGAAGAGTATGATGAAAGCACCATGAAATGTAGGTTTGTGCTCCCAGCACAGATCTCCGGAGCTAGGTATTCAGCAGTCCCAAGCCTTCCACTCCCTCCCTCCTCAGTTTCTCCTCCTCCCACCATTGAGCTGTGGTGGGGGCAGGGCTCCGGTCCCACCGAGCCACAGCTTTGGTATGTTACCCCGTTCGATGAGGTCTGCGTTTTTCTCCAGGTGTGTGCAGTCTGGCGCCATCCTCTTTCCTGTTGCTCTCTCAGGATTAGCTGTACCAATTATATTTTCTAATTGTATCCAGTTTTAGGAAGAAGCCTCTGTCTCTCCTCTCATGCTGCCATCTTTAATCTTCCCTGGCCATGATATTTTGATGGCTACTATGCTGAACAGTGCAGCCGTGATGGATGCAGCTCTTCTGTTGATAGCTGGTAATGAGTCTTGTCCTCAGCCTCAGACTTCTGAACACCTGACTGCTATAGAAATCAGGAAACTGAAGCATATTTTGATTCCACAAAATAAAGTAGATTTGGTAAAAGAAAGTCAGGCTAAATATATACTAATCAAATGTATTTTTAAATGAGGGTTACAATGTGGAATGGTGTTTTTAAATGCAATCACCTAACTACAAGTCAATGATCTTACTAACTTCACTTCAAATACGAAGTATATATAAGCTCTGTCTTAGGTACAGAACTGGATTCTTCAACAATTTCTCATTAACATAGTGCTTTTGGTGTTAAAAATCCTGTGGCTTGGCCCACCCAGGGAGGCGGGGTCCGCCGGTAGGGGGCTCTGTGCGCTGTCGTCACAACGTGGAAACCTGACACGCAGGATGTTACCAAGTTGAATCCACTTTCACACAAAGTTATCAGCAGACAAGTCACAATAAATATAGGTACAATTGCTCAGGTAGCCCATGGGAAATCCACAGTTGTAAAAGCTCTTTCTGGAGTTCACACTGTCAGGTTCTAAAATGAACTACGAAGAAATAGTACAATCAACTTGGATATGCTAATACCAAGATTTATAAACTTGATGACTCAAGCTGTTTTCGGCCAGAATGTTACAGATCCTGTGGAAGTAGTACACCTGATGAGTTTCCTACAGACATTCCAGGGACCAAAGGGAACTTCAAATCAGTCAGACATGTTTCCTTTGCTGACTGTCCTGGCCATAACATTTTGATGGCTACTATGCTGAATGGTGCAGCCATGATGGATGCAGCTCTTCTGTTGATGGCTGGTAATGAGTCTTCTCCTCAGCCTCAGACTTGTGAACACATGCCTTGTCGGGAGCCGTAGGCCATAGAAACAATGGTCTCGCCCTTTTCGCCTAGGTCTCTAGTTTCTCAAGCCTGCCCCATTTACGAAGGATCAATTGACCCAGCTTGCGATTAGACCGCTGGGATAGAGATTAAGCAGCTGCCGTGATAACATCTCCTCCTTAGTAAAACATTCTGTCTTTTCTCAGTAATCCCCCACCCATGATCTTTTCCAGAGAACATTCTTCAGTTAGGTATCCTAGCAACCTAGATAATCCTTGCCACTTCAGCTGGGGCTGTTTCCCCCTCCTAGCTCCTATATAATCTACCTTGTAAGAATAAACCTTGAGACCTTGATCAGACTTTCGACTTGGTCTCCTTCTTTGTGTCTGGTTTGTCTCTCATCCAGATTAACTTCCCCTCGAGCCCTTGTTGAACTCCCCGCCGGCCGGGGCAAGTGGCGCCCAACGTGGGGCTCGAGGTACGAAGCCTGATCTGGACGTCGCTCATATTGACGGCCGTCCTTCTTTCTTTGGATCGCCACCCCGCTGGTGAGTGAAGATCCACACGAAGATCACCACAGGAGTGCCCGCCTGTGACACAAATCAGTCAAGGTAAGGAAAGCGACGCAATCATGGGGCAAACACTAAATAAGCATGAGTTATTTGTGAAGGGACTTAAGGCTTCTCTCAAGACACGAGGAATACAGGTTAAGAAAAAAGATTTAGTTAAATTCTTTATCTTGCTAGAGGATGTCTGCCCATGGTTCCCCCAGGAAGGAACTATAGCTGAAAAATGGTGGCGCCGAGTTGGCGACTGCCTGAATGATTATTATCGTTCCTTTGGCCCTGAGAAGGTCCCAGCACAGGCATTTTCTTATTGGAATCTCATAGACGATGTGTTGCAGGTCCGCCACTGTCACCCAGATGTTTCAAAGATTGTTGATGATAGTGAAAATTATCTGAAGGAAAAGTTTAAAACCAGTCAGACTTCTCTCCACAAAAAGGAGATCCCCGAGGACCTTCGTCCCTCCTCCGCAGCCTCTAATTGTCCCTCTGTCTCCATTCCCATGCCCAAGGTTAATAATGATCTGCTGTCTAGCGGCCGCCCCCCAAAATCTATTTACCCAGTCCTGTGCGGTCTCAAGTCCAACAGCCCTGATGATGATCCCCTCTCCCCTGAAGAGGAGGCCGAACTAAATGACGCCGCCGCTAAGCACCATAATCTTGAATGGCCCCCTCAAGTACCTTTAGGTGCATGTCCACTGCCCTATAACATACCACCCCCTTTCTGTATTCAACCCAATCTAGAAGAAATAACTAGACAAGCCACTGTTAAACTCTGTCGGGAGGCGCAGTCCCTTAAGGCACTGCTTCAGATCAAAAGGGAGAGATCCCAATTGCTTAGGCAATTACATGACCTTGACTTAGAAATGAGCTCCCCCCATGTCCCTCCTGTTCAGAAAATAAAAATAAGTTCCCCCTCTGCTCCCCACGTTCAGAAAGTTAAAACCAAAAGTAAAACCCTTCATGTCTTCCCGGTGACCCGATCCCAAACTAGACCGACCGAGGGAGAGCCGACCGAGGGAGAGTCAAATGAGGCTGAACCACGAGAATCAGAAGGGGGAGATATGGATGCAGAAGAGCCTATAGCCCAGCTTGAGTCAGAAAACACTGAGGGAGAGGACGAGAATGCAACTTCAACCATTAGGACTCAGTGGTACCGCCGCCTTAAATTTAAAAATATAAAAGACTTAAAGAATGCTGTTTCCTCATATGGCCCTGTTGCCCCCTTCACTATTTCATTGTTAGAGTCTCTAAGCGAAGACTGACTTACAGTTAATGATTGGGGCATGTTAACTAAAGCCACCTTAACAAGGGGTGACTTTCTCTTATGGAAAGCTGATTACACTGAAAGATGCCAGGATACTGCCCGCCGCAATATGGCTGCCGGCAGTCTTTCCAAATCCTGGACATTAGACAAACTTCTGGGCAATCGCCCCTATGACACAAATGAAAAACAGGCTAAGTTTTCTCCAGGCTTACTCACACAAATCCAACATGCAGCCCTTAAGGCCTGGAAGAGCCTCCCTTCTAAAGGGTTGGCCGTCACCTCTCTTGCCAAGGTTAGACAGGGGCTGCAGGAACCTTACAGTGAATTCATAGGCCACCTTACAGAGGCCACCGAACGCCTCATGGGAAGGGAGGAAACAGATAATGAATTCATTAAACATCTTGCTTTTGAAAATGCTAACTCAGCTTGTCAAGTGGCTATGCATCCCCATCGCTGCAGCAAAAATGTCTCTGATTTTATAAAACTTTGTGCCGATGTCAACCCAACCTCTCGCAATATCGGAATAGCCATATGGGCAGCTCTTAAAGATTTTACTCAGGGAGCCAGGCCCAAGACTTGCTTTAATTGCAAGCAACCAGGTCATTTTTCAAGAGAGTGCACAGCCCCTAGGACCGAACAATCGCTCCCATCATCCCTGTGCCCACGATGCAAACGGGGTAAGCATTGGGCCTCCGAATGCCGCTCCAAGGCTGACATACAGGGTAACCCTCTGCCTCCGAAGCAGGGAAACTTAATACAGGGCCCACCCCAGGGCCCCAAAACCTACCCGGGACAGAACCCTGGGGTCGTCAGGTTCGTCCCCCAGTCAGTCCAAAATCCAGCGTCACTATCCTCTCCCGAGCAACCGCTGGTAGCACAGGACTGGACCTCTGTTCCACCTCCCAGTCAATATTGACCCCAGAAATGGGAACTCAAATTCTTTCTATGGGGATTTTTGGCCCTTTGCCGCAAGGCACCTTTGGTCTTATTCTGGGTCGTGCCAGCTCCACTATTCAGGGCCTCACTATTTCTCCAGGAGTCATTGACAACGATTATACTGGAGAAATTGAAATTATGGCTACAGCCTTTCAGGGACCAATTACCATTTCCCCTGGCCAACGGATTGCTCAATTAATATTACTCCCCCTCGATGACAAAAATCCTTGCTATAAGCAAAAGAGAGGCCCCATGGGTTTGGATCATCTGATGTTTATTGGGCACAAGAGATCACTCAAAAAAGACCCCTTCTTAAGTTAAAATTAAAAGGAAAAACCTTTGAAGGTCTTATAGATACTGGCGCGGATGCCACAATTATTTCCAGTAAGGATTGGCCTTCATCTTGGCCTCTCACCGCATCCATGACTCACCTTAGAGGTATTGGACAAACCTCCAACCCCCTAACAAAGCTCCGAAGTTATTCAATGGGAAGATGAAGAAGGCAATCACGGTACTGTCCAGCCCTACGTGGTTGCAGGCCTACCTATCAGCCTCTGGGGCAGAGATATTCTCTCTCAAGTGAAGCTCATTATGTGCAGCCCTAATGAACTAGTCACTCACCAGATGCTCAATCAAGGCTTTCACCCTGGGCAAGGGTTGGGCAAACACTCTCAGGGCTCAAAAGAGCCGGTCCCGGTCACCATAAAAACTGATCGTGCTGGAATTGGCTATGAAAATTTACCTAACAGCTGCTGACATACCTGTACCCCATGCAGATAAAATATCCTGGAAAACAACTGAGCCTGTATGGGTTGATCAATGGCCCTTAACTTCTGAAAAACTGGCTGCAGCCACAATGTTAGTACAGGAACAACTTGCTGCAGGCCATATCGAGCCCACCGCCTCTCCCTGGAATACTCCTCTATTTTTGTCATAAAGAAAAAAATCAGGAAAATGGAGGTTACTTCAAGATCTTAGAGAAATCAATAAAGCTATGATACCTATGGGGACCCTTCAACCAGGCCTCCCCACTCCTGTGGCGATTCCTGCGGGATATTGTAAAATCATTATTGACCTAAAAGATTGCTTTTTCACAATTCCCCTACATCCTAAAGACCTCAAGCATTTTGCATTTAGTTTGCCGGTGATTAATTTTAAAGGCCCTATGCCAAGATTCCACTGGAAAGTTCTGCCCCAAGGAATGGCAAACAGCCCTACGCTGTGCCAAAAATTTGTAGCTCAAATTATAGACCCATTTAGGCAAAGATGGCCTTCTACATATTTAATTCATTACATGGATGACCTCCTCATGGCTGATCCTAACCCCACTGAACTCCTTGCTTATTTCCAAGAGCTTTCTAGGGCCCTTATCAGAGCTGGTCTTCAGATAGCCCCCGATAAAATTCAATTAAAACCCCCTTACTTGTTTTTAGGCTTTGACCTCTTTCATAATAAGATTCTTTCACAAAAGGTTCAACTTAGAACCAATTGCTTAAAAACTTTAAATGATTTCCAAAAACTTCTAGGAGATATCAATTGGCTCAGACCTTATCTCAAGCTAACAACTGGAGAGCTTAAACCCTTGTTTGATATTCTTAAAGAGGACCCAGATCCTACTTCCAGTCGCTCATTAACAGCCCCCACCCTAGAAGCCCTAAAGGCAGTGGAAGCCGCAGTTCTAAACCAAAGGGTCACCTTTATCTCTTATGAGAAGCCTCTTCTCCTAGTCATTTGTGCTACTGATTTTACACCCACTGGAGTGTTCTGGCAAGAGGGGCCCCTTTTTTGGGTCCATTTACCTGCCTCACCACCCAAAGTCCTTATCCCCTATACCTCCTGGGTGGCTGAGCTGATAAAAATCGTACGCAACCACAGCAGGAAAATATTTGGTAAAGACGCCAACAAAATTGTCCTACCCTATTCCCCTACCCAAATCCAGTGGTTGATAGAGAATGACGATGAATGGGCAACATCCTGCACCTCTTTCCAGGGAGCCCTTGACAATCATTACCCTGCTAACAAGCTTCGCCATTTTCTAAGGACCCAACCATTTGTTTTCCCTACACTGACCTCCTCCCAACCCCTTCCTCATGCCCCCCTAGTTTTCACCGATGGCTCCTCCAACGGAGTGGCAGCCTTCACCATAGATAATCAAACCACTTCCCTACAATCCCCATTCCACTCTGCTCAATTGGTTGAACTCTTTGCTGTTTTACAAGTTTTTCAACAACTCCCTAATACTCCATTTAATCTATACACTGACCGTGCTTATATTGCTCAATCCATTCCCCTTTTAGAGACCGTGCCCTATATAAAACCCACTACAAACGCCACCCCTCTGTTTTTTTCCATCCAGCAGTGCATACATTCCAGGCAACATCCCTTTTATATAAGCCATATTTGTGCCCATTCTGGTCTTCCTGGACCTCTAGCCACAGGCAATGCTGTGACTGATAAAGCTACCCAACTTGCCCTTCTCGCTGAGCTCGATCCTGTGGCTCAAGCCAAAGAAGCTCACTCTTTACACCACCTTAACGCTCAAACCTTATGTCTTCTTTTTAAAATTACTAAAGAACAAGCCCGTTAGATTGTTAAACAATGTGCAAATTGTGTCACTCTCCTGCCTGTTCCTCACTTGGGTGTGAACCCTAGGGGCCTAGTTCCCAATGAGATCTGGCAAATGGATGTAACACATGTCCCCTCATTCGGAAATCTTAAATATCTTCACGTTACTGTAGATACCTTTAGTGGATTTATTTTTGCCAGCCTCCATGTTGGAGAAGCTTCAAAAAATATTATTGCTCATGTACTCAATTGTCTTAGTGTCATGGGAAAACCTGAGATTATCAAGACTAATAATGGTCCTGGATATACTGGAAAAAAATTCCAAGAATTTTGTCACCAATTACAAATTAAGCATGTTACAGGCATACCATACAATCCCCAGGGTCAAGGGATTGTCGAACGAGCCCATCTAACTATTAAACATACCTTCCACAAATTAAAAATGGGGGATTTATATCCCATGAAAGGTTCTCCAAGAAATATTCTTCATCATGCCTTGTTTGTTCTTAATTTTCTAACTTTGGACGCTCATGGCAAATCTGCAGCTGATTGCCTTTGGCACCCACAAACTGATAAAAATTATGCCACTGTCATGTGGAGAGACCCCCTCACTTCCCATTGGAATGGCCCCTACCCCATACTCATATGGGGCCGGGGATCTGCCTGTGTTTTCAACACCAAAGAAAGAGCTGCTCGCTGGCTGCCAGAGCGTTTGATTAAACCAATAGATTTACCAGAAGATTTTTAAAAATCTTATCCAACTGTCCAGGGTGGTGACACCCCCTGAAACATCCTTTTTCTTCTTCTCTCCATAAATTCTGGCTGCCGGTTTAGTCCTTGCCTTTATCTTAGGCATAGGACTCGCCGCCTCCACCCCCCAGCAGTGGACGCCTTGGCAGCAAGCAATCCTCATAATTCTCTACCGGCTCCTCATCGGCGTGTTTGCCTGGCTTAATTGCTTCCTTTAGAATAAACTCTGCCCACAAATGAAGCCCACCAGCCCTTTTCTCCTCCTCTTCCAAGTAAGCCCTTTGTTGATTAATCATTGCTTAGGGGGTTTTCAGCCACCACCTTCAAGAGCTCAACTTTATAAACAATTGTTTGGGGAACCTTGTGATTGTAAAGAAATCATAAATGTGCCACCTAAGTTTACCTCCCAAATTACCGCCAAGGGGCCTATAGATTGTGGAGATAAAACAGCTTATCTCACTGCCAAAGGCCATTTTGCTGGAGGTTGGCAACAACGAAACTGGAAATGTGTAAAAAAGGTTAGGCCATCTCTGGATGGCTCTCCTTGTAAATGTTTCGAACGCACATCACTTGTAGTTTACGATCAAATGCATTCCAGCTGTTATACAGATAGCCATCTATGTAAGTATAATGGGAAAACATATTACCAAGCCATTCTGCTAAAAAGGATGTTAGGAAAAATTGATGACACAAACTCGCTTGTGTAAGCCTCCTGCAGAGGAGAGGTAGGTAATAATGTCTGCTGGAAAACCACGGCGCCAATCCACGTATCTGATGGAGGAGGCCAAACAGATAAGGCTCCTGAGCAGTATGTTCAAAAACGAATAGAGAAAATCATACAAGACTCCTTTCCTCTTTATCACCCCCTGGCTCTCCCAAAACCCAGAGGAATCTATCTTAATTCACCTATGAGCAACCTGCTTGAAGAAACTCACAAACTCCTTAATCTTACCAACCCTGACCTTGCATCCCAATTGTTGGCTTTGTCTGCCTTGGGGAACACCCATGCCTCTAGCTATTCTCACACCCAGTATCACACAAAATCTCCAAAATAATAACAATTGCTCACTTTCCTCTCCTTTTAAAGTGCAACCAGTATCATTAGATAACATAACCTGCTTGTACCAAGATTTCAAAATAATTCCTATGATATTGACCTAGGGAACATTTCTTTCAGCCACTGCTCAGAAATTCTTGTCATTAATGTTACAAACAGTGTCCTATGCCCCCCCAAAGACCAAATCTTTGTTTGTGGGACTAACATGGCATACACCTCTCTACCCACCAACTGGACAGGGCAGTGCACCACTGCTAGCCCTTTACCTGATATATCCTTAGTTGACGGAAAAGAACCGGTCCCTTTGCCAACCTTTGATTACTACCCCGTAAGGCATAAAAAGAGCAGTTACTGTCCTTCCTCTGTTAATCGCTCTTGGAGTCACAGGCAGTCTGGCGACCGGTACCGCAGGAATGGGCGTTGCCATACACAAATATAATCAACTATCCCATCAATTGATTAATGATATTGAGGCTGTTTCAGGAACCTTACAAGATCTTCAAGACCAAATAGATTCCCTTGCAGAAGTATTCTTACAGAACAGGCGTGGCCTAGACCTTCTCACCACGGAACAAGGCGGCATCTGCTTAGACTTAGAAGAGAAATGCTGCTTCTACGCAAACAAGTCCGGAGTAGTTCGTGACAAAATAAAAAGACTCCAAGAAGATCTCGTGCAATGAAAGAAAAAACTGTTTGAAAATCCCCTATGGACTGGGATGAGTGGGTTTCTTCCTTATCTTCTCCCTATACTAGGACTCTTCCTTAGTCTCATGCTTGTGCTCTCCCTTGGCCCTTGGGCCTTCCGGAGAATTACCACCTTCATTAGAGAACAGATCAATACTGCCCTCGGCAAACTGATACAAGCCCACTATCACCAGCTTGACCTGGTGGACCAAGGCTATGATGTGCCAGATGACTCCCCTCCTTTAGAAGCTGCATAGGATTCAGACCTATGCATATCGGCTCACGATAAAGTGCGATATGGGCACCAATGTGGGTGCGAAGCTAAGCATCGCAAGGGAAGGTCCATGAACCGCCTCTGAATTCCCTGAGAGAAAAACCTGGCTTGCATGGAGGTTGGTATCTAAAATAAATACACCCTTCCTCCCCTCCACAAAAGATACCAAGGGCCAACATTGACCCCCATCAATGGGGAGTCTCGGAGGAGCCAGGTCACTACTCCCCCAATTGGTTAATGCCCACTGCTAAATAGCGGGCCTCCCCCTCTTTTGTATAAAAGAAGGGAGATGTTGGGAGCCGTAGGCCATAGAAACAATGGTCTCGCCCTTTTCGCCTAGGTCTCTAGTTTCTCAAGCCTGCCCCGTTTACAAAAGATCAATTGACCCAGCTTGCGATTAGACCACTGGGATAGAGATTAAGCAGCTGCTGTGATAACATCTCCTCCTTAGTAAAACATTTTGTCTTTTCTCAGAAATCCCCCACCCATGATCTTTTCCAGAGAACATTCTTCAGTTAGGTATCCTAGCAACCTAGATAATCCTTGCCACTTCAGCTGGGGCTGTTTCCCCCTCCTAGCTCCTATATAATCTACCTTGTAAGAATAAACCTTGAGACCTTGATCAGACTTTCAACTTGGTCTCCTTCTTTGTGTCTGGTTTGTCTCTCATCCAGGTTAACTTCCCCTCGAGCCCTTGTTGAACTCCCCACCAGCCGGGGCAATGCCTGCCATAGAAATCATGAAACTGAAGCGTATTTTGTTTCTACAAAATAAAATAGACTTGGTAAAAGAAAGTCAAGCTAAAGAACAGTATGAAATGATTCTTGGGTTTGTACAAAGTACAGTAACAGAAGGTACTCCTATCATTCCAATTTCTCCTCAGCTGAAATACAACATTGAAGTTGTCTGTGAATACCTAGTGAAGAAAATTCCAGTACCCACAAGGAACTTTACTTCAGAGCCCCGACTTATTGTTATCCAGTCCTTTGATGTCAATAAACCTGGCTGTGAAGTTGATGACATTAAGGGTGGTGTAGCTGGTGGTAGTATTCTAAAAGGAGTTTTAAAGGTGGGCCAGGAGATTGAAGTCAGACCTGGCATTGTTTCCAAATACAGTGAAGGAAAACTCATGTGTAAACCAATCTTTTCCAAAATTGTGTCCCTTTTTGCTGAGCATAATGATGTCCACTATGCTGCTCCAGGAGGTCTTATTGGACTTGGGACAAAAATTGACCCCATTTCCTTCAGGGCAGACAAAATGGTAGGGCAGGTACTTGGTGCAGTTGCACCCTTACCTGAGATCTTCAGAGCTGGAAATCTCCTATTTCCTACTTAGACACCTTCTAGGTGTACACACTGAAGGAGATAAGAAAGCAGCAAAGGTGCAAAAGCTGTCTAAGAATGAAGTGCTCATGGTGAACATAGGATCCCTGTTGACAGGAGGAAGAGTCAGTATAGTCAAGGCTGATTTCGGCAAAATCGTATTGACTAATCCCGCGTGCACAGAAGTGGGAGAAAAAATTCCCCTTAGCCGAATACTTGAAAAACACTGGCGTTTAATTGGTTGGGGTCAAATAAGAAGAGGAGTGACAATCAAGCCAACAGTAGATGATCACTGAAGTGTAAGGCTGGAGGCAGCCAAGATAGAGGAGATGTCCTCATCCGGGCTCCCAGATCTCCAGGGAAGAGTACATTACTTCGTTGTCTCCTTCTGATCTGAGTGAGTTTGGGACACTGGGCTCACAGGTTTAGGGGCTCCGGGAAATGGGTAACAGACATAGGGAAACAGTCCTCTAAACTGGAGGCTCAGACCCCTCTGTGGTGTCTCATATCCATTCTGGTGACCCTAGATATAGTAGAGGAGATCCGTAAATGGAAACTGGTCCAACTCTGTTCTCAGACTTGGCCCCAGTATCCTCTAGACAATCAATCTCACTGGCCCTCAGAGGGGACTTTTGATTTTAGCCTCCTCACCAACCTAACTAATTTCTGTCACCGAACTGGGAAGTGGTCTGATGTCCCATATGTCCAGGCCTTTTGGACATTGCGCTCCCACCCAGACCTTTACATTAAGTGTTCAAAGACCCAGGTTCTCCTGGCCCAATCTCTAGTAAAGGATTGCCAGCCTCTTACTCTGCCCAGTCCGTCCTCCTTTTCAGATCCACCGGAGGACCTCGGTCACCCACTTCCCTCAGCTTGCAATACCCTCCCCCTCTCTCCGCCGCCATCTTTAAGTCTTTGTCCTCACCCATGCTGCCGCCATCTTTAAGTTTTTTGTCCTCACACGTGTCACCACCGTCTTTAAGTCCTTTGTCCTCACCAGCATCGCCACCATCTTTAGGTCCTTCATTCTCAACCATGCCATCTTCCTGCTCCTCTCCTCTTCTGCTGTCCGTGCCAACCCCTCCCCATCTCCTTCCACCTTCACCGCCCTCTTTCCCCACTGGAACAGGCTCCTCCCACCCTCTGGTTCCAGAAGCTACGGACAAGACTCCTCCCAGCACAAACCTGCCTCCTTCCTCTCCGACCCAACACCCGCCTCACACCTGCCGTTTGCCGTTTGTATCCTCCTCTTCCGGTGTCACCTCCATCTTGTCCTTCACTTCCTGTACCCACCCCGCCACCATCTTAGGTGCCCATGCTGCCCTTAGCGCCCAGTTAGTCTAGCCCTTTGGTCACCAGATCCAAGGCCCACCGGCTGCCCCAAACAAAGGCCCAACTAGTAGCCCCTCTCTGAGAGGTTGTGGGGGCAGAAGGGGTTGCCCAGGTTCACATCCCTTTTTCCCCTAGGAGAACTATCCCAGATTGAGAAGCACCTGGGCTCTTTTTCCTCTAACCCCACAGTTTATACCAAAGAGTTTGACTATCTAACTCCGGCCTACAAACTTATCTGGCATGATATATATGTTATCCTAACCTCCGCTCTTACCTCTGAGGAATATGACCATGTTACCTCAGCCACCCAACATTGTGCAAACAAGGCACATAACACAGATCAGGCCAAGCCAATTGGGATGGAGGCAGGTCCTCTCACGAAACCCCAATGGGACTATAATACCCATGATGGGGGAACTCAGCAGGACCAAATGCTACAGTATTTACTGGCAGGTATGAATAAGATGGCTCAAAAGGCCATTAATTATGATAAGCTGAGAGAGATTACTCAGAGACCTGATGAGAACCCAGCCTGTTTTCTTAACCGGCTCACCAAGGCTCTCTTCATACATAACTGCCTCGACCCCAACTCATCGTTGGGGTCCACAGTGTTGGCTACTCATTTTGTTACCCAGTCAGCCCCAGACATAAGACATGTTAAAAAAGGCAAAAAAGGGGACCCAGACTCCACTCCGTGACCTGGTAACCATGGCCTTTAAAGTCTTTAATACCTGTGATGAAGAACATGAGAGGAAGATAGCATCCCGGACCCAAGCCTTCACGGCAGCCCTACGGCCAGCAGGACAGGGGTCTCATCACACCAAATACCGGTCCAAAGCTCGTGAGCCTCCAGGATCTTGCTTCCAGTGCAGCCAAGAGGGCCATTGGGCAAAGAGATGCCCCAACCCGACCAATAAGCCGACTAAACCCTGCCCAGTTTGCGGTAAGAGAGGTCACTGGAAGGTAGAGTACCCGGTTGGGGAAGGTCGTCCCCCCGTGACAGAGTCTCACTGGAGGCAGGCCCCCCTGAGGGACTCCCCTCCAGACCTGCTCGAAGACTGAAGCTGCCTGGACTCGAACACCCCTATCACCCTTGCTGAGCCCAGGGCCACACTGTGGGTAGCGGGTAAGTCCATCTCCTTTTTGGTAGACATGGGGGCTACCTACTGTTTTCCCTTCCTTTCACGGGTGTTTACATCCTTCCCAGGTCTTGGCCATGGGTGTCATAGGAATACCCTGAGACTCTAGAGACAGGTCCAGTAGCCTGCACATTTGAGGGCCATACTCTTACCCACTCATTTCTGGTCATCCCATCCTGTCCCATCCCTTTGTTACGGAGGGATCTCCTATCCAAGCTTGGTGCCTCTATCTCCCTGCCGTTTAGTCATCCCCAACCGAGTTCACTCATTGCCCTAGCCAGTATAAGTTGTGGCCCTGAGCCCTCCACAGACCCTCCTGTACCATCGACCGGAATTAACCCGATGGTCTGGGACACCTCTATTCCTGTAGTGCTGAGCCATCATGCTGCACCATGCTGTACTTGGTGCAGTTGGACCTTTACCTGAGATCTTCACAGAGTTGGAAATCTCCTATTTCCTACTTAGACACCTTCTAGGTGTACGCACTGGAGGAGATAAGAAAGCAGCAAAGGTGCAAAAGCTGTCTAAGAACGAAGTGCTCATGGTGAACATAGGATCCCTGTTGACAGGAGGAAGAGTCAGTACAGTCAAGGCTGATTTCGGCAAAATCGTATTGACTAATCCTGCGTGCACAGAAGTGGGAGAAAAAATTCCCCTTAGCCGAATACTTGAAAAACACTGGCGTTTAATTGGTTGGGGTCAAATAAGAAGAGTGACAATCAAGCCAACAGTCAATGATCACTGAAGTGTAAGGCTGGAGGCACTGGAGGGAGGGGTGAGCACGTCAGACAAGCTCAGCCCTCACCAAATGAGGATAGGGAGCAGCAAAGCCCCCAACCCTGGCCTAGTAAAGGAAAGAGACCAACAGATTCCAGCCTGATGATGTGCCACAATCCCCAGCTGCTGCCCCCTCCCAACCTGGAAAAGGTGCCTTAGGTTAGCCAATCCTCAGGCCACTGTAAACCTATGCTCTCCCTCCCCCTAACTTCTTTATAAACTCACTGCCTGCCCTGCTGGGCATGACTTTTCCAGCCTGTGACTAACCAGACCAGCGAACATCACCCGGGATTGTGCCCTATTAAACTTTTGGCTCCTTTGTAGCCTCCTCGCCTGGTTATTTCAGCTCGATTTTGCCTTAGATGAAGAATTCCTGTTAAATAATACATTTGGATGAGTTTTGAATTTCTCTGAACAACCTAGGGGTATGTTCTCATAGCAATATTGAGGAATTAATATCATAGCTGATTACCTTAGTAGTAGCTATAAGGTTATTCTCATTTTTTGGTGATTAAATGTAACTTTTAGTATTAAAACTGGATCTACAACAAATGTAAAAATTGGCATAATGTTGGGTTGAATCTACATTTTAGCAGAAATTAATCATTGTCAAATAATGTCTACTTTATACATCAGTGCAGGTTTGAAATGAAACTGCTATAACCAGCCTTTGCTGTAGCATGCATACCACTGAACCTGAAATAAAATTTTTCTTCCTATTTTTCATGACTGTCTTTGAGTACCTCCAGCCTTGAAGAACTGTTATACCAGTAAAAATTTGAAGATACAAATTCCCAAAAACCAGCTTTCCTTGGGCCCACATTTTTATATTGCTTTATCTTTGAAATATTGAGTGAAAAGTAAATTAATAAATACTATCCTTTACTGCAAGAGTGCTTGTTCCCATGGACACACATTTCTCTCCCTTTCCTCTCATTTCTTGGACTAGAATGCAGGAAATTAGACCCAGAAGTTCTCACTCTTTACCTGTGGGGCCCTGTGATTGTTTCTGCATTGGTTTATGGGTGAAACCCAACAGGCTTCATTCACTGGAAAATACTGTTACACCAGATGATTCTAGATAAGTAACAGATCTTTGTAGGCCTTGTTTTGTGTTTTTTATTAACTGCTTAATGGATACAGTAAATTATATAAGTTCAAATATTAGTAAACTATGAACTTTTCAAGAGGTAAATGACATCAGAAAGCAAAGGGTAAGCCCTTTGATTTTTAATTTAATCTCCATGTTCCTGCACTTTTCTTATGTTATGCATTTTAACCAATTTTTTTTGTTTCGTAAGAGTGTTAGAGCAGTGATTCCCAACTCTGGCTGACATTAGAATTGCTGGATAAACTTAAAAAAAAAAATGCCCTGCATGAATATATTGAGACAAGAACGGTGGGTGTAGTCAGAGTAGGGTGAGGGCCTCCGAGAAAAGCAGGGCAGAATATTTACACTCAGAGCAATGTAACAATGGGCAAAGAAGTCCCTATTGAAACTCTGTGCTAAGCATTATGCAAAGTCAACGTCACACTAATTCTCTAGGGAAAGATACCTAAGAATATAGACATCTTCACTGAGATCAGTTAAAGGTCAAAAGCCAGGAGCAACTTGGCCTGGAATGTTTGAGTGTTCTGCAAGGGTATCAGCATAACCCCTGACTCCACTGTCAGTCCTAGCAATCAGACTACGACTCAGCCCACCTTGAGGACAGGGCAGGTGATGCAAGTCCACACCCCTGAGATTTTTTCATGTTCTCAAAAAATCCTCAACTGCCTATAAAACTCCCTAGACAACACACCACTCTGGGCTCTTTTGTCCCCTCCTGGCATGACCCAGGAGCTCTATTCTCTCACTTTATTTCTAAATAAAAGCCTGTACCTTGCTCTCCTACCTTGACTGTTTGTGAAGCTCATTCTTCGGCTTCGTGAACAAGAACCCCGGCATCATCTTTAGGTGCTCATCCGGGATAACTTCAGAGGTGAGTATTGGCATCCAAGCCTGCCTTTTCTTTCACTGTCCTTATAGAAGGAAGCCATCTATGGCACACAAAATTAGGCACTTGTCAGCCACTTAAATGGGACTAGCCTGGCTGCCAATCTCAAAGTCTCAAGCAAAAGGTTCCCCTGTGTCTCCCTCAGTGGATCCCCCATCTCCCTTGGGAGCTGGGAAAGTCAGCTGAGTGGAGGCCAGGATTCCCTTTCCAATGCATCTCCTTGGATGCGAGGGACTGAGGAAAGCCGTGGGCAAGTCCAAGAGTCTAGGCTGAGGCTGCACTTCAGCGGCTTCCCAAAGGTCCACGTGTCTGGAATCAGACCCCGACAGCCCAACTGGGTATCCGTGAGGAGTGTCTCTTTCTCTGTCTCTGACTTCCAGCCTGCTTCTTCAGGCCGCCCTGGCCTCAGTGAGTCAGGGGGTGTTCCTAACTCTCTCCTAACTTCATCAATTTCATGGAACCCAATGCCCACCACTGCAAGGTAGGAGACCTATGCTTTGCTCTTATTCCTGACTAAATGCTGTACTTTCTATGTCATAAAAATGTGTCTGGGCACCTGTTAGCCACTTAAAACACGATTAGCGTTGGCTACCAGTCTTAATTCTCAGGTGAGAGGTTTCCGGGTGTCTGCCACTCCTTTAGCCCCGCCTCCAGACAGATGGGAATGTTGGAGAGTGGCTGAGCGGATTTCCTACTTTCCTATCCTAATCTGTGGACTCGGACGGAAGACCGGACTAGAAGACCATGGTCCTGGATCTCAGCTCCAGCCAATTGATCCCATGGCACTGGGTAAACCTCCGGCTAGGT